AGTCCCTCTCCATGGCATAAAGCCATCATTGTGTTGTGTTTGTAGAACTTCAGAAGACCAAAGTTCATACAGGGATTGAAAGGACTCCTTCAGCTTGACAGCATCTCTTACCTCCGGTGTCCACCACCAGGTTCGGGGATTGCCACCACGACAGGCACTGGAGACCTTACAGCCACAGCTCTGAATGGCTGCATTGGCAATGGAGGTGGAGAACATGGTCCACTCGGACTCAATGTCTCCAGTCTCCCTGGGATCTGGTCGAAGCTCTGCCGAAGGTGGGAGGTGGGATTGAAGGATCTCCCGGACAGGGGGTTCTGCCAAATATTCCCAACAGACCTTCACAGTATGTTTGGGTCTGCCGAATCTGTCCAGCTTCCTCCCCTGCCATCGGCCAGCTCGGGTTCAGATCGGAGGGGCCATTCCTCCCGATCACGCCCCTCCAGGTGTCACTGTCATTGCCCATGTGAGCGTTGAAGTCCCCCAGTAGAATGACGGAGTCCCCAGTTGGAGCACTTTCCAGCACCCCTCCCAGAGACTCCAAAAAGGCCGGGTACTCTGCACTGCCATTCGGCCCATAGGCACAAACGACAGTGAGAAACCGTGGAGGTGAGCCGGACTATCTCTAGCCGGTACCTCTTAACCTCGCACACAAGCTCGGGCTCCTTCCCCCCCAGCGAGATGACATTCCATGTCCCCAGGGCTAGTCTCTGTGTCCAGAGATAGGGTCGTTGGGGCCCTTGCCTTCGACCGCTGCCCGATCCACTGTGCACCAGCCCCTTATGGATCCTCCTGCAGTTGGTGGGCCCACGGGAGGATGTGCCCATGTCGCTCGCTTGGGCTAAGCCCGGCCGGGCCCCATGGGAAGAGGCCCTGGCTCTAGGGTGGGGCTTTGGTTGCGCCATACCTTGATTGTAATTTTTTCATAAGGGGTTGTATTTTATTTGTATTAAATGTATTCTGTATGCATTTCTTACCATCATTACAATAATAACAGAATCAAAGATTTTTACTGTCAGTGTGAACATTAAATAAATGATTAGCTATAATAATGATCAAGTATAAGGGCAAGAATGTCCCCAACCGCCACGTGCTGTTGTAGAAGAAGCATAATGCCTGAATTACCTTTTTTATAATGGGAAAATGTTAATGAATATAATTGTAAAGTCACCAAATGTTGATATTGAAAGTAATATTTGATCTTGCAATATAACATCCACATGTCCAACTATGGTACTGTTACACCAGACAGCACAGACAGGGAGGATCCCAGGAGCAGAACACTGACAAAATCAGCAGAAGTCACATTCAGTCTTTAATGAACAGTACAACAAGCAAAATGTGCAGAGAATCCAGATACTGAGGTTGCAGAATCGGCGAGGATGAAGTAGTAATCAAAGGTAGCAGAGCAGGAGACGAGGTGGGAGAGCAGAATGGAGTCCAGGTGGCCAATGACTGAAAAGATCCATAAAACAGAGGGGAAGCAGGTGAGTACGGACCCAGGTACAGGTAACTGAAGCACAGAGATACACAGGAGACGAGAGTCTGCTGGAAATAATAGGCACAGGTTTAGCGTAGTACAATAGCCTAGTGCAGCGGTATGCGTGGCAAAACGAAGTGGCGGTGAGTAGACGCCAGAGCCCTGGTTAAATACAGTGGGGATGATTCCCTACAGCTGCATGGGAGAACACAGCTGCTGATTTGGATAATGGTCATTTCTATAGTGTACAGTAATGTTCTTAATGGTGTACTGTGGCTTTAAGAGAGTCACACGATGCCCTGGCTTGGTTTGTTTTAAGCAGGTCTCTGAAAGGACTTTGGAAGCACATGGCGTCTTAGCGAACGTCTGTAACATGTCTATTTTTTTTTTTTTTTTTGTCAGTATTCACTTCTACTTATGTTATAACTTGTGAACTGTTGCTATTTTAGTTCTTGAGCAGCTAAATTAAAGCGAAGATATTTCTTTTAATCGTTGTGAAAGTGGAAGTGAATGAGCCACTGGAAGGACATGCATGGAGCGAGTAAGGCACGCTTGCAATTGTGCTTAGAAAGTTCAACCTCCACATCACCAAACTGTGAAGATTTCAGTCACTTTCTAATAAAAGTTGTGGCCAAACTAAAAGAATCTGAATCACACAAGGAATTGGACTATTTGGCACAATGGCTCTCATTATGCATGTGTGAAAGACTGCAGCTCTTCACATCTAAAGATTTAACATATTCTTTACCGCATAAAAAATAAACTAAAGTAAAAATGTATCTATAATGTGAATATTTAATACATGTCATTTACAGTTTCAGCTGTTGAAACCTGATTGAGAAAACAGTTTAGATTCACTTTGACTGTTGCGATTTAAAATGTTTGAAATTGGTTATTGCTAAAGCCAGTGTCTCTTAGTAGACCACCACATTATAGTCAACATATTAACTCAGTAATTATATGATAAAAAGCGCTCTCTGCTTTTCAAGGACTTTCTGAGCAAAGTGAATTTACATTGGTACAAGGATTTAGCTGATTCTCAAACATATAGTAGCAATCCAACTGAACCATTACTCTAGAACAAATGGTGGTGTAAGATTTGAATCTTATAGGCTCTAGTTACTTTATAAGCTTTAGTTGCTTTTCATAACTTTATTTTCCTTTAGTTACTTTTCATACCTTTATTTTTCCTTGCTTATATATATTAAAACTGTATTGATGACTGCCATATTCTACTGAGTTGAAACTTTGGAACTGTATGCCCTAACTTTTGTGGAGACATGATGTCTGTACCTTCAAGTAACCAGATGGCCTAGTTTATATTTTAACACAGGACTGTTGGCCCGTTTTGCATCTTCACCTAGGCCCGCTTAGCATATTCCAAGTTCTACTTTGTCATGTAGTATCTTGCAGAGACCCTGTCTCTACAACCTGGCCTACAACCTGAGATGACCACCTGGCCCGTTTAGCACACTCACTAGGTCCTGCTTTATCCTGTTATAGCCTACACAGATAGGGGGTCTGCAGCGCAGACAACCAATTGTTCAGTATTCAGATTGCTAGCTACCGCCTGAAAATCTGGTTTAGATTACATTTCAGCAAGCAGGCGTGGGCAGAGGTTGACCTGCTTACGCCAAATGGCCAATAGGATAACGAAGCGTGAAATGTTGTACCCCTGTACAGGGCAGTCTCCGCCCGAAAAGATAAATGTAAACAGAAAACATACCTCGGGGTTCAGAGAATGGATTGCCTGTGGGAGCTCTGTCTCTCTGATCCCAGCGCTGTTTGTCTTACCTGTGCCCAGACTTTGATGAAATTTTTTCTTGATTTTATTCCTCTTCTGTCTTCACTTCTTGCACTTCCAACAAAAGAACTGGGTTTTTTCTAACAGTGGAAATTTAGTATGTTGTCTGTTTTCTCCTGGAAATAGTAGCATGACAAAGAGGTGGAAAAGATTGTTATTTTCTTTTCTAAATATTTGTGTCTTGCCATCAAATCATCCAGATTGTAAAGACTGATAAAGGCTAGTGACCCTTAAATCCCAAATATGTAGGTGTAGCCTGTCCTGACTTGCCAAGTTCATCCAGGATCTGGGTTGGTGGTGAGCTGGAGTGGCAGCATACAGCCTTGTGCAAACCAAACACCATTGCATACGGTTTAGCTTTCAAATGTTCAAGAAGTAAACAAAATAAAACAACAATAAAAGCAAAGTATGAGGTGATTGTGTATATTCAATGGGAAGCACTAAAACAAGACCACAGCAGTCTAAAGAACACTATAGGAAATAGCAACTAGGCTTTAAATACATGTTAAATCAACATGGGATTTTCTAATAATTTTATTTATTCTTTATCTGCATTTGAATGACCAGCACTCAGTTGTATTATCATTTATCAAATATAGAGGTAATTTAAATTGATAAAAGTCACCAATAAATCTCCACTGGTGCTTGACAGATGCACTTGTCCCAAGTCCAAACCCTGTGAACTGAGTCTGCAGTAGGGGTTTTCGGAGGCTCAGCTCTGGGTTGCTCATGTTGCAGTAATCCAGGGAGGGTTAAGGACAAAGCCTAGGTTCGCCTCACTCTCTGCCTCCTCCCAGATCAGATGAGGTTAGGAAACAATTTAGGAGTCCTGGGAGAGGCAGGGCTCAGAAACACTGAGGCTGGGGAGAGACGCAGCAAAGCAGGTGGGCACTCCTGTGGGAGAAAGCAGAGGCGAATTCACTCAAGACTGCAGGTCTTATGTTAGTGCACATGAAGACTTATTGCTGTGGAAGAGAGTTTGGAGCCAGCCAGACAAGGTGTGCGATGAAGGAGATACAATGTGCTCTTATGTCCTTCTTGGTATGTTTGTCGTGCATTCAGTAACAGTTTACACTTCAGAACAAAAGTCTTCTGAGACAAAAGGGGAAAACACTCCTCTCCACTCTGGCAGGAATCCAACAAACACAGTTGGCAGTGTTTATGGATGGGAAGCCTGTGAGGTATCATAGCCTTGCTAGCAAGTCTTGCTTGGTGGCCAGTTGACCTTGGTGGGCTTTGTGTCCTCCGAGTGATGCTCTTTGCTGTCAGGTGAAGAAGCAGCTGCTGTCCTCATCCTCAGCAGTGGGAATTTACAATTGCTGAGACAAATGACAAATAAAGAATGAAAGGAAAGCCTGAAGATGCATTGCAAGAATGACCCATTAGTGGCAACCAAGCACACACAGATTATAGTCTGTAGCACTGTAAACTTTGGTACATAGCCTTTTGAAATAGCTGGGGAAATCAATGTTTGTGTCTGCATCGAGGTGCATACTGTAGATGTTCTTTATTGAATGGGCTCCTGTCTTGTAAACATCCTCCATCTGGAAACCTAGGTGCAAGGAATCTAAGCTTCTATGAATATGCACTACAGATTTGTGCAAATATTTAGAAGCTTATGCTGATTCTAATGGTTTGCAGCACTCTGCTTGATGTGGCTGTTGAATAACACTGGGATAAAGTTGACTCTGACTCTGTCTCTGTCTCGGTCTTTTCCAGCAAACCATACCAAACTGCTACTGGAGTACCAGAGTTAACAGTGAGACTTTGTGTTAAGGATTTCTAATTGAACCACCTGGAGCCCACTGATATTCTTCCTCAGCTGTTTGTGGAAGTTGTTTGGACAATGGGGAGGAAGAAGATCCAGATCAGCCGCATTCGGGATGAGAGGAACCGACAGGTCAGTGTCGTAGTCTTCTTCTGTCTCCTTACTGTATATTTCATCTTATATTTATGCATTGACTGTTTTCTGCACAAAAACCTCTGATCAAAGCTCTGAGCTTATAAAGACTTATTGTACAGATAAGCTACTGTACAGTGTAAGTTCCTTATCCCTGACTGTACTCAGTCAAACAGTTCCTGTCTCCTGCATCACAACATGCATCCATACAAAAATACTGTATTTTTCTGCCACAGTTTTGTTATTTTCTGGTTGTTATGTTTCATTTTCATGATATCTGATTTGTTGTTGGACACCTCTAAGAGTCCACTCTAAAACTATAGATTCACTGCATTTATTATGAGAGCCTAAGGAAATAGCACTACAGTATAAAGTTTACTCTAGAAAGATCACTATTAAATGGCAGTGAACCTATTGACAGGTTCAGGCACATTTTCAAGGAGCCTTCTGTGGATCCCCTGTGTTGTCAAACCGAAGAAGAACGATTCCTGTAAGCCGTTTTACTCCTGAGAGTGCAGCGGTCACAGCTGGTGCCGAGGGCAGTAATTTGGGGTTAGCTGGGTCCGGACAGCACCCTGTCATTAGCAGGGTGGGTCAGAGCTAAGGACACACAGTGGCCTTCTCTCCTCACCATCTGCTTCCACAGCTACACTACTGCCCACTGGTTTTCCCTCTCTGTCTGTCTCCTCTATATATATCACCCCCAACAGCACAACAAATACCAGCCTGTCTGGAAGGAAGGCACAGGCTCTGGAAATAGGGATGTGGTTGGAAAATAAATATCTGTGATGATGTTTATATTTGATGTTTGGTTGTCCTGGCCAGAGTGTTTTTAGATAGACATTGCGTTGGCTGTTGGGTGTGCACTGTTGCTGGAGTCTGCTGTAGTTATTTAGGTGCTTGTACTCTATTTTGGGAAGTTCACTTGTGTTCGTGTCTTATTCAGAATATGTACTGTAGTAAAGGCTTTACTGAAGTCAAAAGATGCACCAGTGGTACACCTACAGTTACAAAGGAACAAGGTACTTCTTATCATAGAAACTGATTTTCAAGTCAATTCTCAAGAAATAATGAATACAGTTCTATTTTAAGAGGAAACAAACAGTAAAATTCTCTGCTAATAAACATTAACTTCTCTTGGACTCAGTGAAAAACACCTAAAGTAGTAACTGTAAGGAGATTCAACATTTATTCAGTGAGCGCTACAGTGCTTAATATGTTTCTGGCATTGGTGCAAATGTTTAGATTGAATGTGAACTTGTTTGACCATCTGATTCTCCCCAGCTGGAACATCTGATGGTACAGTGACTCCAGTGCCGAGGCTGAGGACACTTTGTCCCTCATACCTTTTGAAAACCAATTAATCTGCACTGAAGGCACTTGACATATCACCTCCAGTGGGTCAGCGGTTAAACATTCTCTTTTGACCAATCAGGAGACTAAATAACTTTTTAACAACAAGTGTACACACATTTAACCCAGCAACTGACATATGCTGGCTTACATAGCCCTCGCTTTACACTATGCACATATCAGTTATAGTATCTGACTTCCAGTGAGGCCCACAATAAAGGAAGTGTCATTTCTCAGAAGTTATAGATTTGAGGAAATATGCTTGTGATCAGTGAATAAGCAGTAATCATGAGGAGACATTGAGTAATTTGTTTGTTCATTTCAGGAGCATGTAAGAGCAGGAAGAGCAGAAAAATACAGGAGAGGAGTGGTAGTTTTCTACTAAACAGTTATCTGTCTCTGCATAAATATCAGTGTGAAATGCACACATGCTTGCCTGAAACCCCACTGCAGAAAATTGCCTGTATGATTAGTAGGTTCCTGGTTTTCCTAGTCCCTCTTCCAAGTTATGTTTGTAGGATAATTTAGACTTCCTTTCAGTGAAATGCAGCTTTTGACACAGAACTAACTCAAACCTTTAGAGATACAGAAACTGGAAAAACAGTTTTTTTGTCAATCAACTGTGGACAGATCATATATTTACTGTGCCCTGGTTCCATGTGTCAGTTTTTAGAGAAGTGGATTCTTTTCCTGGGCAGTTTTAGTCCCTATTAGTATTTGTTTCATGTTGTCGACATATTGAATAAGTAAGCCTCTCCTCTTCCACAACTACTGTTACTGTTGAGCAAGTACCTAAACTACCAGTCGCCACTGCAAAACTGGTCGAAGAATTGTGAATGCTTAGAATTCTAAGCTACAGAGCTGTGAACATAGAGAATGTAAGGACATGGAGTAGGCAGGGAAGGGACACACAAAAAACGCATCATACTCAACATTGCTAGAACTCTTGGTGATGTAAGAAGGTGTGCAAGTCAAAGAAAGATATGATATGAGTCAGGAGCCCCAATGCTGTGATGGAGGAAGTCAACCCTAGAAGAACATGGTTGACTCAGTGCAGGGAGCTTGCTACACACCAAAAAAAAGGGATGAGAGTCTGATCGATGTGTGACCTGTGGGTCATGTGTGGGTTTAATGTGAGCTGTAAATGGTCCACTTCAAACAGTGCATTAATAGCTTTATGGTAGAGTGTGGAGCTTTGAACAATGTTGTTTTAGATATCACAGTACAATATAACATGTTTTGCTTGGAATGATTTTTAGTTTTATATGTTTTACTGTCACCTTCATAGTAATCACTAAGGGATGGGAAACATTACTCAGTTGCTTTCCCCACCTACATTTCCCATCCACTTAGTCGGTGGAAGAGCATTTCCAAGTTGTTGCCACCCTCTTAGGGGAGTTTCATGACCTCACCCATTCTTTCTGTACCTCCTCCATTGTCATACTCTCAGCCTGCATGACAGAGACACCTTTTGAACATTTTCTCTTATCTCTCACCACTGTGATGTTCTGACAGCAACTGACTCTGTGACTTCGTGTCAGCTGATCTTGTGTCCCTAGCTCCTTATGAGTTGTTCTGAGTAAGAGCAACAGCTAAATGCCTGAAATGAAACATAAATGTCAAATCAAATGTGTGCTATTATTTACTATTACTGCACATTTTGACAATCACACCACATAACTCAGGTTTTCGGTACAGTGGAAAGCACATTGGGTTACCTTCTCTTCTGCCAACAGATATGGATATTTGCATATCATAACCTAAAGGGGAAGGTCATTTTTAATCCACCAGCAGACACGAACAGCAGATTCTGAACTGATCTGTGAAGAGGAGTTTAGAAAGTCACCGCTCCATTCTGGGAGACTTTACACCTCTAGAACATTTTAAAGTTGAAAAAGCTTTGAAAATCTTTTTATTTGATTTTGTTTTTATTTCGAAAGCTTTCATGCTTTAAAAAATACAATGAATTGTTAAACTACAGTTTAACAAGTACACTGTTTGTTTGTTGTATCCACTGGCATCATGGGACAAATTAGACTGACCCACGATTGTTGCCTTTCTAGGTGACTTTCATGAAGAGAAAGTTTGGTCTGATGAAGAAGGCCTTTGAGCTGAGTGTTCTGTGTGACTGTGAAATCGCCCTCATCATCTTCAACAGCTCCAACAAGCTGTTTCAGTATGCCAGCACTGACATGGAAGCAGAACCAACTCTGACATTGTAGAGGTGAGTGGTAGAAATCTATTGGTAGTCTCCAGCTGACGTCATAGTGTTAGTGTGATTGGAGGGCTTTGACCGGACCTTGTCAGGTGGTACTGAGTACAGTCTAATTAATATACAGTCTGTGTTTTTAGAAGAAAATGTGGGTGTACTATTGAAACCTATTAACCTGTTGCAGTGTGAATAGTGTTGTGAGTTCCAGCTACTCACCCAAATGCAAATATACATCACATCCAACAAACTATTTTGCAATAACACTTGTGAAATTGTGGTAAGTAATATTTAATATAAGTAATATAATATTTGAGGGCAGTATGGCGGCGCAGTGGTTAGCACTGTTCCCTCACAGCAAGAAGGTTCTGGGTTTGACATGTTCTCCCTATGCCTGCATGGGTTGTCTCCGGGTACTTCGACTTCCTCCCACAGTATAAAAACATGCAGCTTAGGTTGATTGGTGACTCAGAATTGCCCCTAAGAGTGACTGTTGTTGTCTGTCTTTAACTGTCAGCCCTGTGTTAGACTGGTGACCTGTCCAGGGTGTACCCTGCCTCTCACCTGTGACTGGCTCCAGCCCCCCGCGACCCTCTTCAGGATAAGCTGTATAGATAGTAGATAGATAGATGGATATACTAGTTAATATTTTTTGTCATTTGATAATTATAAAGTACATTCATGTCTGGGGAATAGATACAGTAGGTGACCCTAGATGTTTTCAGTTTCTTTCCATGGGCAGAGTTAATAGAGATTAAATACAGAGAAGGAAAAGTAGAAAGAAGCAACATAATAAAGGAAAAAGAGGAGGAAAAAAGTGAGAGAGAGGGAATAAAAAAATTTGGAGAAACAAAAAGAAGAGAGAAAGAGAGGAGAGAGAGCAATCTTGAAACGGTAAAACATTGAGGATTTATTTTCAAATCCTGTTTTTCTAATCGTGGTTGAAAATCCCTCAGTGTTGGTTCTGAAAGCTTTGACTTGGTTAGCATCCATCTAAAGGATTAAGAACTGCATCTTTGTTTTAGAGACATGAAATCCTAGAAAGTGTAATGTCGAAAGACTTGGCAGAACTTGCCTAGCTCTTGCTGTCTTCTTTTAAATTTGGAGCAATAGAATATACACTGGAGAGCCAGTTCATGAGACTCTGTTTTTCGGTCATCATGCCAGGTATACTGTTGCATCAGAATTTATCTATGTCGTACTGGCCCTGTAGCGACTTAGGCAGGGGATTCATCTGACTATGCTGACTTAGACAGATTAATAGGACCTCAAAAGTCTATCGACACTGGTTGAACCCCTTTGGAAAATTAAATCCTAATATGAATTAAAGAATCAAATGAATAAGGTTCAAGGATTTTATTGTCAATTCACCATATGTGCAGGACATACAGAAAATTGAAATACTGTTTCTCTCTCCTACTATTGGGTGCCATAACATTTAGAAACTAAAGTAGAATAAAAATAAAATAGAATAAAAACTGGATTAACGTAATTAGAATAAGTCTGAACGGTGCAGCCAATAAGCTGTGACTCAAAACCGAGTACAGTCAGTGACAGTAGTGTAAACAATAATAGGAGATTGGAGATAAGGGAGGGACATAATTTACCTAGACGTCCAAAGGGCAGTCTGTTCCGTTCACCAAGCATTAAGTTGAACCTGGGATTGTCTCTTTTCAGCCTCCTCCACTGTCCAGTTGAGAGGAGGATTTTGGAAACTTCAGCATAAACAGTGCTGTTATCGTCACGATTGACAAAGGTGTACATTGGGACCTTGATGATAGCACACTGACTATAAAGGAAAGGCTATAATAAAAACGATTAAACGTGTGACTAACTTAGCTGTAACTAGCTGACTGGCACTATAGCAGGCAAACTGTCCGGCGTCATCTCCCAAGACCATGACGATGAGTCAGTTATATCCAGTCCACGTTTCCCGGTTAACTTACCCTGGTGCTCTGAGGCTCCAATTCAGCAGTTTGGGGTTAATGTGTGTTTATTCAACAGAGCATAAGATATGGAAGATGATAGTTTCATGCTGCTCAGCAGACGAATTTGCTTAAATGACCTCATACAAGGGTGTGACTGACATTGTTGGTCTAGGAGAGGTCCTCAGAATTGTGCACCCCCAGGAACTTGGAAATGGTCTTATACTTGTATAGCGCCTTTCTATGCTTTTTACAGCACACTCAAAGCGCTTTCACATTATTCGGCCATCACCCATTCACACTCCCAAGCACTCGCGCATTCACACACCGGTGACATCAACGGGAGCAACTGGGGGTTCAGTGTCTTGCTCAAGGACACTTCGACATGTTGACTGGACAAGCCGGGAATCGAACCGCTAATCCTCCGGTTAGGAAGCTGAGCTCTACCTCCTGAGCAACAGCTGCTAACTCTCTCCACTACAGCACTGTCGATGGTCAGTGGTGGATGCTTTAGACGTTTTCTCCTGAAGTCCACAACAATCTTTTTAGTCTTCCCCACATTGAAGAAGAGGTTGTTGTCCTTACACCACTGAACCAGTTGGTACACCTCACTATCGTAGTTGGCCTCATCATTGTTGGTAATGAGACCAACTACAGTCGTGTCATCCGCAAACTTGACAATGTGGTTGGTGCTGTAGGTTGGCACACAGTCGTGGGTCAGCAGTGTGAAGAGCAATGGGCTGAGCACACGCCCCTGAAGGGTCTTTGTGACTCATGTTCTAGCTGTTTATTTAAGCTTCTAATGTGTGTTTGCCTTTGCTGGGAGCCTGAATTGACTGCTCCCATCCACTGTACTTTTCACACACACACAGTTGTGCTGTACCAAATGGAAGCTGTCAAATGTGTAAAGGAAGCTAAACTTCCTAAACTGTGTTTAATTTCAAAATACTTCTTCCCCCTTCCTGTAAAAAAAGAGAAGCTTTAGCACTCTGTTTCATGAAAGTTCACACACAGTTTCCAGCTGATCTATTTCCTCACTCAGAGTCCTCTCTCTTAATGAATCACAGAATCTTAATGTTCCCAGTTAAAATAAACATTGTTTCTCAAGGCGGAATTAGATCATTACAAGGCTGACATAAAAATAAAAGTAAAACTTGAAGTGAACACAGGCTTTGGGCTGAACAGGACCATGGTGATGAAACAGTAAGGACCACAACTGTGAAATGCTGAATTTATCCTTTTAGATGTAGTGATAATAGTGGTAGAAGTCATTCATATGCATCATTGTTATTGCCCATAATTATTCTAAATAGCATAGTCCTGTGTATTCTTCTGCTGTAAACCACAAGCAGACACCTGTGACAGCATACTAAGCCATTAGCCAGTCTTAATTTGCCTGCATTGAGCCCTTATTTGCTTTTTCCCTCAATGTCATGCAAACAGCTGGTTAAAACAAGGCCTGGAAACTCAGAGGTTGCTCTTTTACATATCGGTCACTCCATTTGCAAAATTTAAGCGTGAAATTTGACTATGTGTAAAGTTATACTCCAAGCTGCAACAGACAGGTCAGGAGGGAACAGCAGAAAGCCTCTTTGGATTCATTGCCATTGTATGATGGAAAATGATGTTTGCAGATGATTGTCACACAAACAGTACACACATTTCTTTGTTACACATGGACAGTCTGCACATCAGCACTACCATATCCATATTTATGTGAATGTGAAATGTGAATCCAATAGTGATACTGGTGCTGTGGCTCTTTTTACATTTTCAAATGAAGATAGAGTAATGTCTCCTGTGGACCTGGCTGACTGGCATCTGAGAGGCAAAGTTCCTAGGAGACGTCCTCTCTCAGCTGTTTAGTTGTGTTAATTCAGCTGTCAGGGTGTTTCTCCCCTCTCACCTGAGAAATGTCATATTGTTTGAAAATGTTGATATCGGCCATTTTTAAATTTTTTTCAACAGCTCCACATAACACTGGTTAGTTTTTAAGGAAAAGGATAGTTTAACATTAGGGGAAATGAGTTTATTCACTTTAGGTCAAGTGAGAAGATTAAAATCATTCTTATGTTTGTATGGTACCAGCCAAGAAACAGACCAGCACATACGTAACTCCTACAGTAGCTAATACTGTGTCATTTTTACACATAGGGTTTTTCACAGACTAATCCAACGGGATGTAATGTTTTTTGAGCTTTACAGGTGCCAGAAGGCAGATTTTGTTCCCTTTATTCCTTATTCTTCAGATCCCCATTGGCTGTCACCAGGGTAACAGCTACTCTTTCTGGGGTCCACACACAACAAAACATAACATATAACACAACATTTAACACATGTACAAAAATCTCAATAAAAACAAGTTCACAATCAATAAAATCAACTAAAAGCTGAACGTGCAAAACATTACATTCCATGAAAGTCATTCAAGTCAGTTAGTTACTGTTGGGATTATTTTAATAAGTTTTTTTTATTGGTCTTAAAACTTCAGTGATCACAGATGGTAACTTACTGGTATATGGCTTTGTACAGAGCCAAGCTACCCGTTTCCAGTCTTAAGCTAACTGCCTGTGGCTTCATATTTACTGTACAGATATGAGAGAAGTGTAAGATTTGATTCTTTATTACTTGTTACTTTATAAGCTTTAGTTCCTTTTCCTTACTTTAGTTTCCTTTAGTCACTTTTCAGTTCTTCATTTTCTTTGTTACTTTTCATACCTTTATTTTTCTTGCTTATACATATTAAAACTGTATTGATGACTGCTGTATTTTACTGAGTGAAACTTTGGAACTGCATGCTGCAAATTCTGTAGAGACGGGATGTCTGTACCTTCAGGTAACCAGACAGCCTATTTTACATTTTAACAAAGACCTGTTGGCCTGTTTTGCACCTTCACCTAGACCCGCTTAGCATATTCCAAGTTCTGCTTTGTTATGGGGTGTCCTGCAGAGACAGGGGGGCTACAACTTGAGATGACCACCCGGCCCGTTTAGCATACTTATTAGCATCACACACACACAGGGGGGCCTGCAGCCCAGACCACCCATTGTTCAGTGTCCATTGATCAAGCTGCCGCCTGAGAAACACAC